GGGCCGGACCAACCTCTCCGGAACGGGGGGGGGTGGAGAGGGGTCAGAGGGGTGGCACCATCGCGGACGGGGGGAGCTGGTTCAGGCCTGGGGATTGGAATGGGAGCTAAGACAGGTCTGTGGGGACGGGGACGGGGCTGTGGGGCGAGGACAGGCGTGGGGACAGGGCTGTGGGGTGAGGACAGGCAGACGGTTCAGCTATGCCTTGTGTCCTGGTTGTCTGTACCTTCATGCAGCCCTGCCTGCCCGTGTGCCGTAGTGTGCCGTACAGCCCCCCCGGCACAAGCAGACACGGGGGCTTTCACGTTATGAGATACGTTACCGACGATTCCTGGTACATAGACAGGCCTATGTATTATCAAAGGTGCTGTTCCATGACACTTTTCATTGAACCAACTCTGGATTGCTGCAGGACAGCTGTACCACTGCTCTTCCTGCTCGCACCTTGACAAATTGTGGGGTCGCGCTCACGTAGGATGGTATGGCTGCAAGGGTCAGCCGGTGGGATGTTGCATGGTTAGAAATGGGCAAGGAGGTCATCTCACCATGGCCAACAGGCAAATGAGTCCACAAAGTAAGCCCCATTCCTTAGATGTTGTCCCTATGTTGAAAACGTTTGAGAATCCCCCAGCTAGCGTCTGTTTTCTGCCTGCTTCCCAGTGGCAAACCACTGGTGAAAGAAAACCCAAAACATCCATTTGCAGAATCTGAGAATTAGCTTGGGATAGTCATAAAAGCCTGTCTGGCAGCCAGGCATCTCTCAAGGAGCCAAGTCCAGGTTATGCACACATCCTTAATTTAGCCATTGCTTAATAATATATGAATGGTAAACTGCAACCTTCAAAATAGTCTCTTAATAAAAATTAACAATGAACATTTTAGGATCATTTTCAAAGAAAAGAGGTTGAATAAAAATCAACAGGGGCTAGTCTCTGGGGCTTTGAGGACGTGCTGACTGCTTTAATGAAAGGCAACTGAGCCAGAAAGGCTCTCTGCCAGGGATTTCCCTGTGGCCCATCTTTTGAGGGCTAAGACCACCTGGTGTCAACTGCTTTTAACCACAACATCCCACCTACCAAATGAATACACCCAACGCTGCCATGTTCAGCAAGTTTATGGAAGCAAAGCAGACAAAGCCCCAGGAGTGGCATGCCTGGCTAGGCTTTGTCCACCCACCCCACAGCTCCTGCACGAAGCGACTCACAACCACATGTGCCCTTGGGGCTGTGGCAGTGTCTCCAAAGCACCCTGCAATAAGCAAGGGACTCAGTGTTGCTGCTTTTCCTGTGGTGTTCTGTTTCCTGGTCACGTCCTCCAGGCCAGCCGAAATGCCCGTGTGTCCCCATGGCAGGGGATGTTGGAAATGCCTGGGTGCTTTCCGTCGGAGCTGGGCAGCTCCTGGAGCTCTGGGCCGGCTCCTTCCTTGCCTGTGGCACTGCTTTCCTCTAGCTCGCTGTATTTGCGTCATGTCACCAACAGGTTCACCATCCTGGGTCCTGGGTGGGGTTTCCAGGACAAATTGTAGGGGGAAAATTGCTCGTCTGGCCCTCTGCCCACCTGGGCAGCCAGCGGCTCAGCACCAGCCGTTGCCCGTCGGACCCCAGGGGCTATGAGCCTGGGAGAGAGCCGGCCGAGTGGCAGGGAAGGTGGCTGGACCCCGACGCTGGAGCTGACCTCCTGGACGTCCATCTGCATATTCAGAAGTCGTTCCCAGCCGGTTGGCTGCCTCTGGCCTCCCCACTCCCCCTTTTAATGCACTGAGGGAAGCGGC